GCCTAGGCCGAAATAACAAAAAGGATGAATAGTTACATGGAAATTCAGAATTGGTTGACGCTAAGTGCGATAAGAATATTGAGTCGGGACAATTACAAACGAGCAACAGGTACGTCCGATGTGTATCCGAAAAACCTGTCGCAAATTGCAGACAACAAACGGACAGCATCATGATATGTTTGTCTGCTACTTTGAGGACCGCATTGCTCCACCACAGTCCTGGCCGAAGCGCTGGGTGTGGTCTCGCGGCAAGAAACGTGGACCGGGTCATAATGCAATCCGATATTAGCAACCTCGCGACTTATTATTAGTTGCAAGTCAACGTCGTGCGGCAGAAATAACACAGTAAAGCAGGCATAGCGTACGCTTATTCCCTTAGCTTAGTGGGTTACTAGTCTACGGAACAAATAGAATACGGAAAGCGGAGTAGAATCCGCCGGCAATTTCAGTGCACAGATTTAGCAGATGATTGAAGAACTATTCGCTGTCTGTAGTGAAAATACCAACAATCGAATTGCAGGTTTGCATACATCTGAATATACTTACAGATGAATGGCATCTAAGCCGGATATAGGATAAGATTATTCAAAAGAAGACTTCTTAAGCATGTACTTAACTAAGGGATACAAACGATACGGCTAATCCGAAATAAACAACCTTTTAAAACACATGTAGGCAATCGATTAACTTAGATGCAAAGGAAAAAAAACTAAGCCCTTAACCTAAGCTATTCAACAAAGCAGTATGTTCTACCCTCACTAGATTTGCCGGAACTAACCAAGACGAATCGAATACAAGAAAAATGTCGTACGGTATTGGAAGACGTATGAAATCGAGCTGATATAGGAAATCGCTTTTATATGCTATTCGTCACGGCTAAACGTTAAGAAGGTAAACGGTGCGAAAAATTAGGCACAGTCTAGCGGGCAAGCACCGTACATACTCGGCAAACCACAATAGGAAATCGACTGGTCTATGCACCTGCCCGTTAACTTAGAGCCGCCCGAGTTACCGCAGCTTTACCTCGAATAGCTAATGCTACATTAAACTGAAATCAACCACGAGAACTGGTGCCTCAATGGCATGATCCAAGTCATAGGGAAAAAGAGAAAATATATTTTAAAAAGTATTTTATTAGCAGACTAATGTCAAATCTACAGATACAAATCGAAACGACGACTAAAAGTCGATGCACCTTCCCTTGCGTTCCCAGTCTCCATACCGCGTCGGTTCGGGTCCCCGTGGTCCACCCCTTTCCCCAGTTCGTGGGTTAATATCATTGGGAAAGCGCTCTAGGGGCTCCTTTTCAGCCATAGGGTTAACCTTTAGTTTCTTCTTCATCTCGTCTTCAACTTTATTGCAGGTAGAGAAATATAACTTGGTTGAAGCAACCTTAGGAGGCTTCTTCAGAATCTGCGTGGTTATAAACGTAGACCCACGAACTAGACGCTGCATCCTGTCAACTAAAGGCTTGTTTTTGCCTTTCGTATTCGACTTTCAGCTTAGTAAAACCATGCGGCGTATGCCTGCAAATATCATACTCAAACATTCTCTGCTGTACATTAATTGCATTTCTGTACGTTTTTAGTTTTTTTTTCGAGTTTTTTCCCTATTTTATGAGTTTTTAAATAAAGTGCAGTGTAGAAAACATTTACTTGTTAGCTAATAACCGTCGAAATGTTTGTGATAAACAAAACGCGGTACTGAAAGGTTTATTTATTCCGAGGAAAGACTACTCCTAGCGATTGTGTTTCGTTGGTGCGGGATTTGACGTTTTTGGATCGTAATGTGTGCAACCTCGCGCGCCCTTTACTATATGTACCCCTTGCTTTTTTGTGATATTTTATGATATTAGGCTCACCCTTAGTTCCGCATATGTCTTGCAAAATATTATGTGCGTATATATGTGTAGGCCCTTCGCTTTTCCTTGTATCTTGTACGTTGTTGTTTAAATAAACACAACTTTTGTTTTCGCCGCACGACCCGAAATACACACTTCCGGCTACCACTGCACGTGGCGTGTTCTGAGCATTTCCTGCTTACGCACCTGCATTTCTTGCAGCATCCAACTTCATCGGTTTCTGTTATCTTCGCCTTTCAACGACACCATTCTCTGGTGATCATCCCCGGGCTCAGGATCAACTAACGGTGATTTGAACGCGAGATTCCTTGCGACTCTCCCGACTTCGGATTGACGAACGAAGATCCCAACGTTTACGAATCCATCCTTTGGGATGTCAATTTCCTGGCTACTGCTATCAAGGATAGTTGAGGATCTAGTGAGTCGTATCGTTCACCTTTTTTATTGTCATTTTTATACAGTTTTCCATCTTTTTCTACTAGCGTAGTGCGGTAGATTAGTTACTGCAATTTAGCTCTTTACTTGGAAGTTTTTCATTGCGTCTTTTCTAATACGTTTTTATACGTTTTGTAGGCTTAGCCACTAGAGATTGGTGACCTCGTTTTTACTGTTATCCACGTTTTTAAACTAACTCCACGCAACTGTTTTTCGCGTTCAGTTTTTGTCGCGTTTACATGCTTTTCCAAATGTCAGATCAAAATCCGCCTTTTTACGAAGCCGACTCCGACGACACTGCTTCTACTATGTCCTGCGAATCAGTCGATAGGGAAGAACGCAATGCTTTTCAGATTTCCATTGACACCTTGACTGCGACGTGCGCTATATGTGGTACATGCAGTGATGTCCCAAACTGCGACGGGCGCCATAAATGGACACGTCTAGGCCTAAAGTAATGCAGGTTTAAAAAACGTCGCCCCAGGGCAAACAGACTATTTTGAGAGTCGCAGTCAAAGTGTTAAGCTGCAATTTTACGAAGTTCGCGACCCTACCGTGTGGTTTAAGCAGATAGAAGTCGTTTTTGAAACACGCCGTATTGTTAGCGAGCCTACGCGTTATGGATTCGTAGTACAGCCTTTACCATTTGACGTCGCATACGCAGTCCAGGATCTTCTCGATTCTATTCCTAAGGATAAACCTTATACTCGATTGAGACAGGCTATCCTCAAGCGCACGGCACAATCTGCCGATAGCAAACTCAACCAGCTCCTTAACAATGTGGAGCTCGGTGACCAGACACTTTCCTCTCTCATGCGACACATGCGTCACTTGCTAGCCGGTCGCACATTAGATGACACTACTTCCCGCCGCATTTGGATGGAAAAACTGCCACATCCGATGCAGCAGGTCCTGGCACTGCTTGATGAAATTGTCCCGCTGGACAAACTCGCTGAACCTGCTGGTAGAATTCAGCAATGCTATCCCGGCTCTAGCTCGTACTCAGTCCATCAGGCATCGACCGCGCAGACTAGCCATGCTGTTTCTCAGGTTTTTACGTCCCGATCCGATCGTAAACCTGATCGCCGTGTTTCAGGACAGGTGGCAAAGTCTTGTGGTAGATCGTCCCCGCAGTCGAGTTCGCCTGCCCACCCAGTTCATGATGTTGCTACCGCCCGAGTTGATGACCCACAGGATCTTAAAGATACTGTCAGGCTATTGTGCTCCCAAATGAGCACAATGTGTTCCATTCTCAATCGTTTACAAACCGGTCGTGGCCCCGCCAACCGCAATC